ATTGCTGAATTCCGGCTTTTATGCAAAGGTAAGCATTTTACTGCCTTTTGTAGGAAGTCATGTCATTCTCCTAGAGTTTGATATCAATCACTGTTCTAAAAAAAAAGAAAAAAAGAAAAAGAAAGAAACCACACGGCTAGCAGCCTACCTTTGAAATATAGTGCTGTTACAAGTTCTGAAGTAGCCAAATCCACTACATATAGGCCATCGGAGCTTCCAATACAAAACCAGCTGTTGTCTCTGCAGGGGCTCACAGAGAAACATATGGAAAAACAGTGTTACAGGATTTCCCTTAAAAGCACTTTTTCAGATCATTTGGGGGAAAGACAACGAAACCACATACTAAAGAAAAACATACTGATGTGATGGAGTGGCAAGGCATGCACACCATAAGACTATAGCTTTTTGTTTGAGTTTCCTTTGACTTCATGTAGTCTAAAGCACACACACCAAGCAGGCTGGAAACTACTGCCACATAGTGTTGAAAGGAACTTTGCTTTTTTTGTTGTTTTTTTTTAATCAGCTTCCTGCTCTGAGCTACATGCTGGGGTTATGATATTGTGGGCAATTTACAGTATACCAGTTCTACATTTTAGTGCATCGTTACCTTCATGCTGAGCGTGTGCTTCTGAACAGGATGGAGACCATTAAAGCCATTAAGTGTGGAGTTTTAATGTGATTATCGCATCGTTCAAAATTCTCCGCAGGTAATCGTTTTTGTTTGTGGAAAAATGAGATGTGTTCACTGCTGTATTTTATAGTATCTTTTTGACTCTTACACTGGGGGGGTGCCAAAGCCTGAATTATACATTCTAGGAACAGTAGCTTTAAAGTAACAGGATTAGCAGAGTGCACATTTGTTAGACACGTGTGCAAGAAACAAAGACTCACATAAAAGTATATGATATGTTAAATATTCAGGTGAAGTGCCATGCTATTTGATGCTAAGATGTACTTTTTACTCCTTGGGCATACCCAGAATTATTACACTACTCATTAATACACTTTAACAGTAAAAAAAAAAAAAAATAGGTCACTTCTGTGGGGTATGAAGCAAGTAATTCTGCCTACTGCATATTTCTCCCATAACATACTTGAGAAAAAACTGTTATTTCTTGAAGACCATCAAATGAAAGCTAGTAAAATCATGGCTGCAGACAGACATGATGCAGTAAATGTTTTTTTTTTTTTTTACTCCAAAGCTTCTGTTTGGGTTCAGAGTAAAGAAGTTATAGACACTGCTATGAGATCACATGCTTTTCTAAGCATAAGGATTCAACGTCCATTTCATTCCAGTGGTCCACAAAACACAAAGAAAGTTATGTCTGTGCTTTTTAAGTGCCTGCTTCCTGTCATAACATCAAATGTTTTAACAGTCTGAAACAGTTTATGCTACAAGACTGCAGTTTCCTGTGATGTGTGAAGTTCCCTGTGATGTTTTTGTGTGTGTGTGTGTGTGTGTGTATGTGTGACTGTGTGGACACGTGCAGCAATTAGCCCATAAAGATGTGCCATTTAGTTGAGGAATTTTTTCCAGGCTTTTGTGACAGTGTAACATCTATATAGCCCTAATGACAGAAATATGCAGCTTTTTCTTGTTTTCTTTTCATGACAACTGTATTTGAATTGCTTTCGTAATATTTTCCTGGATCACATGCAATTTGTGCTTTGTGGAAATATGAACAAAACTGAGCCCCTGAGAATGCTTACAGTACTGACAGTATCATGCCTCGCTTCAACATTAAGAATCCCTGACACAAATGAAGTAAAACAGATCTTCCTTGTGGTTAAGCCAAATAATAAGACCCATCACTCCATTTGGAGCCCTTGAGACTAAGTGAGTGAGTGAGACTGGTCTCTGTGCTGACACTATAAAGTCCATCTTGTGATTTTTTTGTAACTAATGAATGAAGTAAAGCACAGTTCTTAAACACAACATGATTCATGCTTATCTACTCATCCATCCATTTCGTAACAGCTGATGCAGGTCTACAAATTCAAAGTAAATGTTCCTGGAAGTCAGACAGCATTAAAAAATGTGGCCTTAAGCATGAGGCTATCACTTCTGCAGCTCCTCCAGCTAAACTCTCATACTTACCTTTTTTGGTCAGTAGTAGTGTTTGTAAATGAGCCACATAAAGCCATTTGGAGGACAGGTTTTGAAGTCTCCACAGCTGATTGTTCAGTAACTCCTGGAAGAAAATAACCAAAAAGTAATGTGAAAGTGATTGAGTGACTCTGTTTGTGCAGGTCGCAGAAACAGACATATGGTTCATGAAAGGATTTTTTTTTTTTAACTGAAATTCACTCTTATTCCGCCTGCACTACACCCTCTCTGTCACTGCTTGTTTGTAACATCACCTGCTTGATGGCTCACAGGCTCTTGGTGCATCTGATGTCTCTTCTCCATCTTCTGAAGGTCCATTTTAGTCACCAGGGGACACTTGTAGTCAACACTGAGAGAAAAGCACCACACCTAAAACATATAGACAACATAGAGGCTGTAGAATTTCAGTCTCTGACAGGGATTTTGAGCTTTTAAACGCTGTGTGTTTCAGTCACTAACCTGTCCATCACTTGAGCCGGTAATCAGCTGCCTATCCTCCTCCAAGAAGAGCACGCTAAGCAGGGAAGTGGCTAAAGAACCGAAAAAGTTGATGTTTTCGATCATTTTGCTGGAACCTGTCTGCTCTAAAGCAGTCACTATACCAGGGGTCTCGAACTCCGGTCCTCGAGGGCCGCAATCCTGCAANAATTCTGATCCTCATGTGCTCTGTGCGCATTCGTACCTTGTATTAAAACACATTTTCCTTTATCCAAAAAAAGCTATTTGGATACAGATTGCATGTTAATGCAACAGTTCTGGTGCATGTTAACAGCAATAGAAATGGTGTCTGAACCATATGCTGACCATCTGGAACATATATGTAGCACAGTAAAGGGAAAATGCACAAAGGGGGCAAATAATGCACCACTGTATTACTAGTACAGTGTCCAATAAACAGAGAACTGGATGTTTATTAGGTGCACAGAACAATATTGAAGCTACTGTAAACAGTGCCAACTTTAACGATACTTAAAAGCGTGAGAGACTTCCCTCTTTCATTCAGACTGGACTAGTCAGGACTTAATTAGTCTTGCATAGATAGAACTATCTCCACAGAGCTGTATCAGTGCTGGATAATGCTCTGGCTAGACGTCATGATTGTTCTGCCAGAAGAGCAAAAACGCTTTGCCGCATTTGTATCTCTTTAAACCAATCACAATCGGTGCAAAGCCCAGGATGTAGTGAAGGTGCCCCTGCAAAATAGTGGTGGGGTACTGTTTTGTTGGGACGTTTGCAAGCAAGTAGGCGAGCATTGTCATTAAAATGGAAAACTCACCAAACAAAGCAAGATTTGTATAATCCAACTCTTCAGCAGAGCTTGACATTCTCAGCGTACTGGTTGCTAACTTTGAGGTTGTTGCTTTTGCTTTCTATAGTGAAGGGCATTTTGACAGTGGCAACACACAGATAGCAGAAGGGGAAGAGAAAGCCATATGAAATCTACATCTGGTGAGTCATACTAAACCCTCAACATTTCTTGTCCCTCACAGATTGTTTTCTCAAGTCATCCGACCTTAAAAAGCTCTGAAAAATAAAACTGATTTTGATGCTTTCTGAACTATATCCCGTCAAAGTAAAATGATGTCTTGCAGCAGTCATTCAGTTGATATTACTGATGACTAAGAATCTAAGGCTGTCTCCTCTTTTGAAATCATGTCTTTTTTGTAGAAATTAGGGGAAATTACAGTACCCTTAACTTCCAGTACATTTATATGTTCCCGACAAAGAAATGTTAATAAACTAGTTTATCTGTATTTTCATGTTTGGTGTTATTGGGGAAAGGGTTCAAAGTGAGTTCTGAATATGCAGTCAGGATTATTCAGTGCTAACTGCTGTTTTAGTAATCCTTACTGAATACCAACTTAATCCAGGCAGCAAGACCCAGGAATTATACTATACATCATACAAAAAGTAATGGCAGCTGATTATCATCATCTCAAGAGCCAACAGTCCTGGTTCCTTTCATGATTATGTTACATAGCAATTTGACATGACAACAGATATCTAATCGGCACTCACAGCTCTTTAAAAAAAAAAAAAAAAAAGGCTGCTTCAGACTCGTGCCAGACTTACAATGGAAGAACAGTTTCCTTTCCAGGAGTCTCAGAGGTTTATGGTGTAATTTGTATACAATACTGCAGATATCTTTAAGAGTACAGAGATGCATGGGGGCAGCATGGTGGGTGAGTCCGTAAATGTTTGTGGTTTTTGGTCTGACGTTGCAGTCACACGGCACTGCTAGACTTCCTCGAAGATCCCCTACATAGTCTGGCACTGGCAAATCCCTTAACTCCAGCTGTGGGGAGCCCAGCTAATACTGGCTTTCTCAGCACTAACTCTCTGTAAGAGCAACATGTAAACCTCAGTATACTGTAGGTCTCCAGCAGAATAGTTTCAAGCTGCCAGGTCCTAATGATACACCAAAGAAACACAAAACGGCTCACTTTACCAGTGAATGCAAGCAGCAAGCATAGAAGAAAAGTGGGTTAATGTGAGAGAATCACCCGAAATGTTTCACACTTTCACTGATGCAAAAACCTGTTAACGTTGGAAATGAAAACGGAAGGGAATGTAATAATAAACGCATCCACACTCAGCACAATGCAAAGGACAGAATTTTACATGTGCACTGTACTTACAGTTAATGAGGATGTTTTTAGCAGCTCTTGTAATAGCCAAACAGACTTTTTATAAACCTACAAGTACGATTTAAGAGAACCATCTGTGGCCAAGAAAAACAGACAACGAGCCATTCATGAGGTGAACTATATAATGGGTCATACTTTTAAAACCCAAAGTCATCAAACAGCAGTAGCTCCCTTTTTATTATACGTGAATGAGCGTAGGTGAGAGGTGAGTGAGTGAGTGTTCAGACAGCTACAGAGATGCTGACCTTTCTTTTTAGGATGGTTGGGTTCCTTCTTCTTTATTTCAGCACTGAGAGGAGAGTCGAGCAGTGGAGGAGCACTGAAAACAAGGGAGGGGTGAAATGGGGGAAAAGAGTTACTGGAAATGAAGGAGCACAGCATTTTCCACCTCCACCGTTATGGATTATTAGTCCTTCTAATTCTCAGTACCATGATATTGTTGACTCATGAAAAACCAGATGGTGGCATGAATGGTTATATTAGAGCAAGTTAATATGGAAATGTCAGAGTCAGAAGGCATTACAGGCAGCAGGCCAACTGGAAAACAGGCCACACTCATGTGTTGTACTGCTGGTGAGGTCAGATGACCAGTACCTGAGAGTAACTAACACAAGTCTACAAGTTTATTGTTTTTGCAAGTTGTAACAAGCTGACATGATTGTTCTTTGGCTCATAAATTGCAAATTTTTAAGTAGAAAAGCGTATAAAGATGATGAAATTAGCACTTACTGGTGCTGCTGGACTTTGCAAAATAATCATTTATGGAGGCACAGGTAATACCTGAATGAATTTTGTTTCTTCCCCAGAGGACGATTTAAAAGTTTTGGCATTTATGAAGCAATGTTATAGTGAGGGTAATAAGTATAATTCTCTGGATTAAGGAGTGCATCCAATACAGACAGTTTTATGAAAACCTATGCACATTTAAAAGTTAAGACATATAAAAAAATATTCACAACATTCAGGCAGTTATAGAGCAGAGAAGTTCCTGGCTTCCACCATATGATTACGTGAGCAACAGAAAAGCTGTTGTTTGCTCTTATTTTTTTTGTCATTTGCAGACGGTTTCGACATATGGGACGCACTATTGGTCCTAAATAAAGACATGATAGAATAATAGAATATGAGTTACAGTACAAGCAGCTGAGATACACATTACTATAGGAATGCCTCGTTTCCAGCCTCTCTCTGCCAGCCAAAGCTTCCCTAAGGAAGACACTGGCTTTCTACACATACAGTTGATTTGTTACAAAAACAAGGCCACAACACTATATGATCACCGAATATAACTCAGGATTTACCTTGGGAACACCGAAAAGCCTTCACCACAAGTCCGGATCCTCCCGAGGTCACACAGATGCAACTCCAGCAGGACAACATTTGGAGTAAACAAAGCGCTCACTAAAACCACCATCTGTGTGACAGATAATTCATTTAGTACCAAAAAATGATGAAAAAAAAGAAAAAAGAAACACTTGTTGGTTAACGTTCAGGAAAACAGACACTGTTGCTAGTCAGAATGTTACATTTTTATGCTTCACTACAGCGTATAATTGCTTCTCTGTAGCAACAGAAAGATATCACTTTCCTTAACAAACACACCGTCAAATCTTGTTTAAAAAAAAAATAAAAATCCTATCTTATAAATAATATATCTTGAAGAAAAATCTGAAAAAAACCCCAACATAATCCTTGGATGGATTGTGAAAGCATAAAGTGCTAATAGCAGCATTACAAAACCACCAAGGTTTAAGCATAGCAGCACCCAAGACAGTAAAATCACACTTGGAAAGAAAACGAAAAAACTCCACATTAATCCAGTTACTTAGAGAGAACTGATCTCAGTGGTTACAGTTGCAACAAAAGCAAAATAGGATTAGGGATTGATTACAAGTATCCTGAGCCCATATTACATAACATGCCAATTGAATTATCGAAGTTAAAAGGGCAATTCGGTGACTTAATGCTTGAAATTTGCTGACTTCATGTTGTTTATCACGATTTTACGGGAATTACTTACGGAGTTATTGCTCCCTGGTGATACTGACCATGATCCAGCCATGGTGATGCTCAGGTTGGGGTAATCTACAAGAATTAACATCAGTCACGTGTTTGGCTTCAACAAGTTTCCAGTTCATATGTATCCGGGGAATTTGGAACATGAATGTGAGCAAACATATTTATATACCTTATTAACACATCAGTAGAATGTATATAAACAAATCAATTCTGTCTTGGTAAAGTTTGCAATGCAAAGAAAGTCACTTTGCCTGGAAATCTTTGTAAAATATATCAAGGCACCAACAGATCAACCAGTGAAGATAAGCATCCACAGTGCCATTTATTTGGGCATATAGCTACAGCTGAAACACGGAGGAGAAAGCTGAAATGTTCATGGGCATAGCATTGGGACAATTGCTGAATTCCGGCTTTTATGCAAAGGTAAGCATTTTACTGCCTTTTGTAGGAAGTCATGTCATTCTCCTAGAGTTTGATATCAATCACTGTTCTAAAAAAAAAGAAAAAAAGAAAAAGAAAGAAACCACACGGCTAGCAGCCTACCTTTGAAATATAGTGCTGTTACAAGTTCTGAAGTAGCCAAATCCACTACATATAGGCCATCGGAGCTTCCAATACAAAACCAGCTGTTGTCTCTGCAGGGGCTCACAGAGAAACATATGGAAAAACAGTGTTACAGGATTTCCCTTAAAAGCACTTTTTCAGATCATTTGGGGGAAAGACAACGAAACCACATACTAAAGAAAAACATACTGATGTGATGGAGTGGCAAGGCATGCACACCATAAGACTATAGCTTTTTGTTTGAGTTTCCTTTGACTTCATGTAGTCTAAAGCACACACACCAAGCAGGCTGGAAACTACTGCCACATAGTGTTGAAAGGAACTTTGCTTTTTTTGTTGTTTTTTTTTAATCAGCTTCCTGCTCTGAGCTACATGCTGGGGTTATGATATTGTGGGCAATTTACAGTATACCAGTTCTACATTTTAGTGCATCGTTACCTTCATGCTGAGCGTGTGCTTCTGAACAGGATGGAGACCATTAAAGCCATTAAGTGTGGAGTTTTAATGTGATTATCGCATCGTTCAAAATTCTCCGCAGGTAATCGTTTTTGTTTGTGGAAAAATGAGATGTGTTCACTGCTGTATTTTATAGTATCTTTTTGACTCTTACACTGGGGGGGTGCCAAAGCCTGAATTATACATTCTAGGAACAGTAGCTTTAAAGTAACAGGATTAGCAGAGTGCACATTTGTTAGACACGTGTGCAAGAAACAAAGACTCACATAAAAGTATATGATATGTTAAATATTCAGGTGAAGTGCCATGCTATTTGATGCTAAGATGTACTTTTTACTCCTTGGGCATACCCAGAATTATTACACTACTCATTAATACACTTTAACAGTAAAAAAAAAAAAAAATAGGTCACTTCTGTGGGGTATGAAGCAAGTAATTCTGCCTACTGCATATTTCTCCCATAACATACTTGAGAAAAAACTGTTATTTCTTGAAGACCATCAAATGAAAGCTAGTAAAATCATGGCTGCAGACAGACATGATGCAGTAAATGTTTTTTTTTTTTTTTACTCCAAAGCTTCTGTTTGGGTTCAGAGTAAAGAAGTTATAGACACTGCTATGAGATCACATGCTTTTCTAAGCATAAGGATTCAACGTCCATTTCATTCCAGTGGTCCACAAAACACAAAGAAAGTTATGTCTGTGCTTTTTAAGTGCCTGCTTCCTGTCATAACATCAAATGTTTTAACAGTCTGAAACAGTTTATGCTACAAGACTGCAGTTTCCTGTGATGTGTGAAGTTCCCTGTGATGTTTTTGTGTGTGTGTGTGTGTGTGTGTATGTGTGACTGTGTGGACACGTGCAGCAATTAGCCCATAAAGATGTGCCATTTAGTTGAGGAATTTTTTCCAGGCTTTTGTGACAGTGTAACATCTATATAGCCCTAATGACAGAAATATGCAGCTTTTTCTTGTTTTCTTTTCATGACAACTGTATTTGAATTGCTTTCGTAATATTTTCCTGGATCACATGCAATTTGTGCTTTGTGGAAATATGAACAAAACTGAGCCCCTGAGAATGCTTACAGTACTGACAGTATCATGCCTCGCTTCAACATTAAGAATCCCTGACACAAATGAAGTAAAACAGATCTTCCTTGTGATTAAGCCAAATAATAAGACCCATCACTCCATTTGGAGCCCTTGAGACTAAGTGAGTGAGTGAGACTGGTCTCTGTGCTGACACTATAAAGTCCATCTTGTGATTTTTTTGTAACTAATGAATGAAGAAAAGTACAGTTCTTAAACACAACATGATTCATGCTTATCTACTCATCCATCCATTTCGTAACAGCTGATGCAGGTCTACAAATTCAAAGTAAATGTTCCTGGAAGTCAGATAGCATTAAGAAATGTGGCCTTAAGCATGAGGCTATCACTTCTGCAGCTCCTCCAGCTAAACTCTCATACTTACCTTTTTTGGTCAGTAGTAGTGTTTGTAAATGAGCCACATAAAGCCATTTGGAGGACAGGTTTTGAAGTCTCCACAGCTGATTGTTCAGTAACTCCTGGAAGAAAATAACCAAAAAGTAATGTGAAAGTGATTGAGTGACTCTGTTTGTTCAGGTCGCAGAAACAGACATATGGTTCATGAAAGGATTTTTTTTTTTTAACTGAAATTCACTCTTATTCCGCCTGCACTACACCCTCTCTGTCACTGCTTGTTTGTAACATCACCTGCTTGATGGCTCACAGGCTCTTGGTGCATCTGATGTCTCTTCTCCATCTTCTGAAGGTCCATTTTAGTCACCAGGGGACACTTGTAGTCAACACTGAGAGAAAAGCACCACACCTAAAACATATAGACAACATAGAGGCTGTAGAATTTCAGTCTCTGACAGGGATTTTGAGCTTTTAAATGCTGTGTGTTTCAGTCACTAACCTGTCCATCACTTGAGCCGGTAATCAGCTGCCTATCCTCCTCCAAGAAGAGCACGCTAAGCAGGGAAGTGGCTAAAGAACCGAAAAAGTTGATGTTTTCGATCATTTTGCTGGAACCTGTCTGCTCTAAAGCAGTCACTATACCAGGGGTCTCGAACTCCGGTCCTCGAGGGCCGCAATCCTGCAACTTTTAGATGTTTCCTTCTTCCAACACACCTGATTCAAATAATCAACTCAGCATCAAGCTCTGCAGAAGCCTGATAACAATCCTGATCATTTGAATCAGGTGTGTTGGAAGAAGGAAACATCTAAAAGTTGCAGGATTGCGGCCCTCGAGGACCGGAGTTCGAGACCCCTGCACTATACCAAACATACCATTTGAATTTTTTTTTTTAAATCACTGAACACTTTTATTTAAACGTTACCAGTGCCTAAGATTTGAAAGATTTGATACATATATATGAAAAGATGCTCATTTCAAAAAGTACTTGTAAATTTATCAACTAAATTGTACAAATTAAAAAAGGAGGATCAATGCCATTAGGTGCCATGCTCAAATGAATGCCAGTTCCTGTGGACAGGGAAACTAATTTCCTCCAACATGATTCAAAAAGTCATATTCTACCTGAAAGCACAAATGACTGGTAGACAACAGCTTCCGTTTTTAAATCCCAAACCTGAAAAAAGACAAAGCAAGACACTGCAAACTTAAGCACAATGTGTGCAATACTTGGTATTAGTTCTGTAAACCAATACACATCTTTGTCTCTTAATCAAAAGGTCGAATCCTATGTGAGTACCTTGAAAGTGCGGTCCTCAGAAGTGGTGACAACGATATCTTTATTCCAGGGACAGAACTCTGCTGAAGTTAAGGGTCCCAGATGGCCGTTCAAGGTAGAGATCACTTCCTGTTTCTGACATGAAAAACATCAGGAAAACGTGAATAAGAAAAACCTTTCACAGCTTCTAATCTATCATAAGAGAAACAATGTGATTCTTCTTCAAGCAGAGATGTCTGGCAAACTTTCAATGAATCAGAGCAAAGTACAAAGAAATGCAATACAGTATTTAGGTGCAGCATATGTAATGCATGTGAGCCATAGAATGTCATATACTGAGACAATCCTTGAGCCTAGATGTATTCACCAATTTGTATGGACACGAAAATAAACAAAACAAAAGTGTGAAATGTTTGTCTCGTGGTACCTTAGCGCTGAGAACATATGCAGTTGTTCCTGAGCATGCAGCCACTCGTTCGTCAGAAAAACAGAATGAAAGATGGACAACTTCACCCAGTAAAGTCCCTATAACTGTTCCAGATGCAATTTTACCTGCAGAAAAATTAAACCAGTCTGTGTATATTCAAAGTTTAAGAATTCAGTGACTCCACTTCACACGAGTGACCTATCCTGTAATATTTCACTAGATGGCAGGCTAGGGAAGGTTTTCACAAATGCTTATACTTACAGTACAACCTAGGACACCATGTGTGCAACAAGCTTGCTCCACAACATTACCAATTAAGGGAATTATACTATTACATATGAGAGAAACACTGAGTTCAGATTTTGAGCAAAACTCACTCAAAAAACACTGTGTGACATAGACAGGGGGAGTAAACTGTGTACATTGCACACACTTGAGGACACACACAACTATTTCTTTTACCCTCTTTGGTTCTCTTTGCACACAGTTCAACATCCCAAACAATGATATAATCAGCAGAGGCAGAGCAGAGGAGGACAGGTCTGCTTCCTTTTCCAAAAGTCATGGCACTGATGTCTCCATGGTGGCCAGCCAGCAGCAGGGGCTGTGAACAAACACAACATAGTTAAATGCATTTTAACTCATTCAAACTGTTTGCACCTCATGTGGGAGTCTAAAGCATTATTTCAAACTAAGTTCCAGGCCAGTATAAATATCTCATATTACGATATATAAGATGCATCCCAATTAAAAAAAGAAATAAGAGAAAAAGGCTTCATATAGCTTACTACAACTTGCAAACAGAGTATCTTGCTAATGACAGTAACAATCAAATAATAGTTGTTTTTCCAGCACACCCCTCTCAAAATTGTCTTATCAAACCTTTTGATGCACGTCCATGTTATTGTAAATCAGCATCTCCTTGCCGTGCAGTGGTATGCCACAGTAACACTGGCAGCATGCGAGCTGCCGGTGTGACAGCAGTCTGTCACAAGCTAAACTTAGCTTTTCTAGCATCATCTCTGTCTGACAGGTTGCACTAGTTAAGTAGTGCGTCGTCGGCAGCGTTAATAACGTTAGTTAATTCCGGGTAAATGTGACTGAGCAATCATTCTTAACCAAAATCTGCTCAACAGAAGGTTAAATCAGTTCGGTTATGTTGGACGAGTTTCTTCGATGCATTTGTTTCAGTAGCACTAACGCTACAGGTTGCTAGGACACCGCACCAAATTTAGCTATCATAGATCGTCTATTCAGGAAGACGAGTCACAATGAGCACGAAACCATCCGTGGTCACTTAAACATACGTTGCCTCACAGTTTATCTTGTAGGGTTTGCATTATAAACACTTACATTGTTTTAGATATGTCTTTGTACTGCGCTTGTTAAAACGTCAGCAGTATATTTAGCCGTTTGGAAAAAAAAGTTGCCTATGATGCATATGACCGCAGAGGTATTTGGAAATATGGTTAGAGTGGGACTTCTGTCTTAATACCGCCGCTATGCTTCTGCCTCTCAGTTTCACCACAAGATGGCGGTTACTGCTCACGAGTGTGCATTACTGCCATCAGTGAAACAGCCCAATAGATTGGTACTATACATATAATAAGATTTCTTCCTAACATTTCAAATCTCCACGAAACAAATAGCTGAATACGTGGTTTCTCATTTTTGGAAAACATCATGTGACTAAGATCTATTGAGTAGAGAGTGACAAATTACAAAAATAACTTTGTGAAAGAATAATAAAATAAAAGTCGAAATATAAAGAAGAATAAATCAATAAAATAAGGTGCTTTTCTTCTTCTTATATAATAATAATAACAATAATAACAATAATAATAATAATAATAATAATAATAATAATAATTATTATTATTATTATTATTATTATTATTATTATATCTTTTGGTATGTTGTTCTTTGAATCCAGCATGTATAATCAGTGTGGGCTATTTTTAACATCGTTATGTTTTTATTGCTTGCTGTGTAATAGTAAAAGTGTCGTAATAAGCAATCACTCATTACTTATTAATCTTCAGCACCATTAAAAGTGAAGTAAACACATACCCGTAGAAACAAAAATGCAGTTGGTCATATCAACAACTCATTACTGCTTTCTCTTTTGTTACTACTTGTTGTGTCTATCATTTTGTGTTGGAATCATGATATTTAAAGTGCCATGACGCACGTAAATATGAAATAAAAACCCAGGCTTGAGTACAATGTCCAGGAAAAGATTTTTGTAAACAACAAACAAACACTTCCTGCGTAGTTATTCTTGGGCTTAACGTACAGCTAATTTCTGCTATAGAAAAGACATCAGAGGACACGAACGTCTTAAGTGGATTTCGAGTCATCCTGTTTGAATGGCTAAAGGTTTATAAAAAGCATGAATGGACAGGGGCATGCTGGGAGGCGTAGTTCTCCCGGCAGCTAGCGGACATGACGCGTGTGTTGTGTAGCTGGTAGCTGGGTGTCGTCTGCAGTCTGCTTTGCCGTAGTTGGATGAATCAGTCGACGTTGACAGTCCTTGGGATATGACAGTGCTTTTGTAGTAGAGAGCTAACTTTAGCTAGACCGTTAGCGGGTTGTCAGGTTTTTAGGATTACATTAGCCGAAGGGGAGGAATTCCAGTGCCAAGGCGTTTTTTTGGACAAAGTCGTGTTTTTTGTTAGCCTTAATATCTTTATAAGATGACGCTGAGAGCGTTAATGTTTTCTGGTAAAGGAAGCTAATTTAACTTAAGCTAGATGGCTAGCTAGCGTGTCATCAACTTGTGAATCTCTTAACTTAGTCTCTGTGTGGGCCATAACAACCTTCTGTTCACCGGGGAGAGTAGCTAGCTGGGGAATTGCTAACCGTTATATTAGCCAGGTAGCATAACAACGTGCACCGGGGACCTGAACGAAGTTAATATTTGCTAGCATAGAGAAGCTAGCCGGTTGATATTTGTAATATGAAAAAAGCAAAGTCTGACACGTTGGATTTTGTTCCTCAAAAAGACATCGTATACAACAAACTTCTGCCGTACGCGGACAGGCTAGACGATGAATCTAATGATATTTTGAGCAAGATTAAAGGAAACCTGGGCCGAGCTGTTCAGCTCAGAGAGATATGGCCCGGTGTCCTGTTTTGGACAAGGAAACTTTCTACGTAAGTAACGCTTATCCGTGTTTTTCTTTAATGAACGGTTCATAATGCTTTCAGTCTGGAGCCTCTTTGAGTAACGTCGACTAATGTTTGTGTAAGATTTCGACGTAATGTGCAATGTTTGTTGTGCTCGTTATATATTTGGCTGAAGACGTACTTTTCTTTTGACTCACTGTTTGTTTCAAACTGTGCACACATTTGTGAATAGCTGGCTGAGAAAACTTTGACGTTAGCTTGGTAGCTTGTTAATGGGTTTTAAAGCGTCGATGCCCAAAAACAACAAACTGTTCTGTGTGTGTGATTAGGGACGGTATGGGTTTTATAATCGGGCCAGTGGAGTGTCAAATAGACAACCTGTCCCACGCAGTGCAGCACAGTAGTGGGTCATTGTCATCACTGTTTGCTTGTGTTCTGCCTTTGACCTTTTTTCTTTTGAAACAGCGAATCAGGTGACAGCTCACCAGATATCGCAACGTGAAGATAACAGATCACAATTCTATGCACTTAATAGCTTCACGTGGCCTCAAGCGGTCCTTATTTGTGCCCAACTTCTGATCTGCAGTGTCATGCCTGTGGATGAGATCATACTCACAATGTGTCACTTGGTTTTAGTGTCCGTTATCTCTTCAAAGTTCACTGCTAAACTAATACATCCGGCCACAGTTGTTGTTTCCGTCCCAAAATACAGACATTTATAAACATTCTATTTAACCTGATTCCACAGTCATTTGTTAAGTAATGAGTCACATGGAATGTGCTAAAAGGCTCAATATGACGGTGGATTATTTCAAGTTCTGTTTCATTTTGTTGTACTTGGTTGCCGGGCTGTCTTTAATCCGTTTCAGTCCCCAGTGCTGGCACATTGCTCTGTCCAAGACTGACTCACTGCCGGCTCAGGAAAGTTTACTGTCGGGTTGACCCAGATTCTGTTTACTGGTATTTTGGCATTTCAACAGAGATAGCATTTTAAATGGACAGTTTAAAGGGCCTCAACAATTTTTTTCAGCTTTCGCTGTGTTATTTAAAAACTGAACAAGTATTTTTAATATTTGGATATCTGATTTTGTTATAATATTCCTTTTTTTACCCCCCCATGAAACACACAGTTTGAACACCTTATGTTTGTGCTATTCATGCTGCTCACTGGGGATCAGACCACTTATTATGCATGTTGAAACTGGAGCAATTATCCCTAAATCTGTACTTCTTATCAAGGTACATGAGACTGTATGGACGGAAATTCAGCAAAGAAGACCATGTGCTGTTCATCAAGTTGCTCTACGAGCTAGTGACAATCCCCAGACTGGAGATCAGCATGATGCAGGGCCTTGCTCGGCTTCTTATCAACCTCCTCAAGTAAGAATGGGCCCCATCTGTTTTATCCAACGGCACTTCCCACTTTCCACAATACATTTAAATTAAATACAGTCAAGTTTTATGTTGATTGTTTTTGTTTTTGTTTCTCTGGAAGTTAAGTTAGTTGTAAAATGTTGCAAACTCACCAAAGAAATATTGTGCGACCTTGTGGATTTTTTCCATAGGGGGAGGCTGTATGATGAGTTGGTATCGGTGTGTTTGTTCTTATCTATGTGTACGTCGTATTCCTCTAATAGGAAAAGAGAACTACTGTCAAGGGAGGACCTTGAGTTGCCGTGGCGACCACTGTACGAGCTGCATGACAGGATTCTTTTCTCCAAGACCGAGCATCTCGGCCTCAACTGGTTTCCAAAGTATGTCTCTCTTCTCTTTAGTGTTATTGAATATCATTAGTTTTAAAAAAGCATGCCTTATCTCAAATGTAGGGTGTTTCTATTGATATATCCACTACACAGTTCACTACATTTAAATTGAATAACTTTAAATATATATTTTTGGATGCCATAGCTAGCATTTGATAACATTCGGCGACAATGAATGATTTACGATCTGTCTTAATGGCATTTCAGACGGTCAGATAGCGTCAAGAAACCCCTCCCACGACACCTTTCCAATATTGGTTAGTGGTGTATGTGTCGACCCTTATCTTTAACTTTACAAAAAAAGGAACTATTTGACATTAACATGCACTTCACACAGCGAGTGACCAGCTGTGTGGAGGTGAGAGGAACTGTGATTCTCTTTTTACTATTTCTGGCATTTTTCATGTGTGCAACCAAATGCAACATGACCATTGCCTCCCTTTAAAATGTGCCTCGAAATGTGCGTTATCCTCATTTTTAAATGACATTGAGTTTTCCCCCTTCTCTACAATGCCCAGCTTTTTGCCCTGCCTTCCATTTGATATGGTCAGACAGCCTTTATGAAAAACGTGTTCTGAGATACCCTTCTTTTTTAAAAATAATTTCCTACAATTATATGTCTGGCAGAGCTCGATATCTGCTTTCTCGTGTTTACTTTTTTTTTTTCTCTCTCTGTAAATTCCATTTCTCAGATTGTGATTATGGCAAAAGTAATTTACCTTGAACAAAAAATACCTAGGATTAGCTGCCTTTTCAGTGAAATTACAAAACCCTGGCCTGTTCCAAGATGACAATTCTTTTGTGTGCCTAGTAAATCGTGTGCTTTGACAGCTTTTATGAATTGTAAACAGAATATTTTAGTCATTATAGATAGAAATGTTTACATATACTGCGAAACGATTACACAAGCCAAACTTGTTCTTACCTTCGGTCACCTCTGTGAGTTTCGACAGTCGAAGTGAAGTCTGTGATTCCTTAATTGGACCAGTTGTGGGAGAACAAGTGGAGCATGTTTTGTGCAACATCCTTTTGAAATTCCCTATGAAGTTCTTAGCAAGCAGTGCGAGGTGCTCTATTATGGTGCTATGGGAACATTGTATGTTCATCACAAACTGACTTGCCAGCGCA